GCCCATGGTTTTTAAACAATCACATATGAGTTTAGTGTTTGGGTTTTCAGTTTGGGCTGAAAGTAATCTAGCACATTCTTTTCAAATGAATGTGCAACAGTAGCTGTTTTTTGGCTAATGCAAGCTAATATTAGCTAACTTAAGATAGATATGGTTGTGTTACAAATGTTACATTTCACTAACTTAGAGGGTTAGTTCTGGGCTTTTGAAATAGGGTTGTATGAGATAGTGTATCACATTTATACTTGGTTTTGTCCAGGGGTTTTGGAGAGAGCGTATATGGATATAACAACTATGTGACGCAAGGTAAAGTGCTGAAAATATTCTGTGGCTAAAATATGTTTTTCTGCTGCTCCCACCCACATCAGTGCATTACTTATAGCTTCCAAGCTGGCTGTACTCCTGTCTGCTTCTACAAACCGGGGGCCTGCTGACCACGGTCTACTGCAGGTAAAGCACTGACTATGGATAAGTACCTCATACAACCCCACTTCAAAAAACCTGAACTATCCCTTTAATGGCTCTTCTCTACTTGTGCTTTTCACTAAGTTTTGGCATTCACCATTATCATACCTCATCCTCAGTGACTGCTATTCAGCAAAACTAGGCTCACTAAAACAGTAAAACATGAATGGAAAAGTTGAACTGGTGTCATGCAAAGCACACCCTGGATCACTTCAATACATTCAGGGTTTTTTTCTGCTATTTGGCCTGATGCGACCAATTAATGGTGGCTAATGTTAGCTAAGTTAAGGTGGATATGTTTGTGTAAAACATTTCCTCCACTCAGTGGCTTATCTTGACGCGATACTTCCTTGTTTTGTAAATTAATTTCCTTCCCTTACCAGCCATTTTTCTCTCCAAACGCACCTCAAAAAGACGCAAGGGATCCTAAGTTAATTCTTCACAACCCACTCTGGACGCGTCTCTGATCAAATCCTCTCTCTCTTCCTCTCTCTCTTCCCTTCTTCTCTCTCTCACACACTTTGTAGGGCAAATCAATAGGCCTTGGATGTCTGAAAATCTGCTGCCAAGTATGGTCAGCCGTGACCACTCGAAGACACACACAAAAAAAAAGAGGACGAGAAAACGAAGACACCCACTTGCTGCACGGTGCTCCCAGTTCAGTCAGCTACTGAACTACATGCTTGCATACACTGTGACTCCACTCCACACTCACACACCCCCACTCCTCCTTCCACATCTAAAAGGACAATAGAGTTGGAAGAGACAAAAATAGTGGAGGTAGGAAAACAAAAAGAGAGTCAAATACTGTATATAGAGTAAAGATAGAGGAAAATACGGAGAGGCCACGGAGGAACGCCTTAGATAAGCACACTGCACTAAGATCTAGCTTTCAGTGACAAAACCTCCTTTCATTTGTGACTTTCTGTGTATGTTTACAATGAGACAACAAACACCCACACAACACTACTCTACATTCATCCCATACTTAACACTAAGGCAGAAAAGAAAGGCTTGATATCTCATTAGCAATAAAACAGCATTTGTTCATATAAAAGTTCATATTCAATATGCAGGAGCGAGCTGATACTCCAGTCACAAGGCTTGCTGCAGAGCTTCATTTTGATATTGGTAATTACAGGACCCCTCCTTCTCCTTGTTTGAAGATAATAGCTTAAAAGTATCCACAATAACTATCTTTTTTTTATTGGTCTCTGATGGCTATATAAGTGCGCTGAGATCTGTGCCCCCTCCCATTGCCGCAGCCACTAAGCCCTCCTACTTCGCAAATGGCATGGAGCTGTACAGAGATCAGCGAAGCTTTGAAAACAGAGGACAAAGCGTTTGTAAAAAAAAATAAAAAATCTGTGATGTTCCTCCATGTCGCTGAGCCCTGCTTCCATAGGCCGCGACGAGGGGCCAGGCAGGATCTGTGCCGCATCCTGTGTCATAGACTCGTTGGAGGATTTATAGAGTGCTCCCATAATGCACTTCCTCTCTCCAAAGGGGGGACATAAATCTGCCTCTGTTTTTTTGTCACCCCCCTTTTTTATTTGCTAATGGGATCCACAAATGACTATCCTCTTGGCTTTCTCAATCCCTTGTACGCACACACAAAAGCACCGGCTTACACACAGACACACACACACACACACACAGTAGCCCTATATAGAAAACTATAAATTGTACGACCTGTGTCAATTAATCCTGCAACTTCACAAGCAGGCATCATACTATAGCCACAGCCTTGTTACTGAAAGGCTGAATATTACAATCTAAGTGTTTGCATGTTTACTGACAGGAAAAACAGAAAGTACAGTGTGTTTATCTGGACATAATAAAGCAGCAAAAAGGTTCCACCAACAAAGAGTCACACAGTGGGTAGCTGAATTAAAATATACTGTGCTGGTAATGAGCTATCTAAATTCAGAGTTCATATTGCTTGGAATTACACAAAAGCAGGGCTCCGGGCAGCACTGGCAAAAACTCTATAGCTCTTTCTGCTTCGCTGCCAGAAGATTCTCCCTGTCGAGCGGCGACACGGTCGGTCCTGGGGAAATCGTTTGAGCCACAGCATGTATCTGCGAATGCAATAATTCCTTTGTAAACGACATCACCTCCTCGCCCATTTTTGCATACTTGGCGGCTGTCAACATGTTGGCTGCACTCTATCACTCTCCCTGCGCATGCACAGGCAGGAAAACACACACAAACACACACACACACACACACACACACACACACACACACACACACACACACACACACACACACACACACACACAGGGATGTTAGTGCTCCAAGCTCTGATTACTGACAACTCTGAAACACATACTAAGTAGACACACATTTAGAGACACACAAGTCTGAATGGATGACTCGAGGCTGACGGTGATTAAAGGAAGTTGCACGTCCACGCTTTCTTGGAATGAAATGGTGGCTAAACAGAAAATGACAGGGGTAGCGGCACTTCAAAGTTATCTGAAAAACAGGTTTGCATATTGGCGCTACGGAGGCGGATCCTTTGCCACACTTGACACAAATGCACCATTTCAGTTGTCATTTCAAAAAACTGAACCGGAGAAAACAGATTCAGGGCTGAGACATAGAAGATGATTTAGGTTTGTTGCCTCTTAAGAGTCCTGCTTCCTGCCAACTATGACAAGAAAAAGGAAAGGCAGCGAGGGTCAGAGTAGCAACAGATCCTGGAGACAATAGACTTTTTTTCTACTGGATTTAACTGCTCTGTACAGTGGCCCAAGGGAATCAATTAGAACCATAGAGTGCTTGGTTTTTTCAGCCCCCATTGACTTGGCAGTAATTTGTTTACTTCACAGCCAAGCTAAAAGCCGGATACAAAAAATAATAAATCCTTCCTTACAACGCAACCATCCTGTTATTTCCTGCTGTATTACATATATGAACATATCAGGTTAATACACAATATCCCCAAAATAAGGTAACACAAATATGCAAGCACAGCACATTGTTGTTTGCAAGTAAATCCTATTTAAATGAAAGTGCATATTAGGCAAAAGCTTGACCTCTGGGCCAGGGTCAGGGCCCGGAAGCAGGTCTATTAACATATGTTTTTCTTCCACACACGCACACACAACAAAGATTGCAGCTGCAGCCAGGCACCCGACCAGCAGGGAGGCTCTTTCCTGTGTCAGGAGGCAAGGAGGATAAACAGCTTATCACACTTGTGGTGTCTCTCAGCTCCCAACTGACAGGTGTCACCTTGTTATTTCGCTGTGTAAAAAGCCAGCCTCGGTCTACAGGGAGTTGATTAGCACGAACCTGTTGCCGCATTTACCCGCTTACCTACGGCACATGCCAAACTCACTGGAGGATTGAGCGGTCCTGCTGCAGTGGGGATACTGGTAGACCTAAAATTAGCTCAGCTGTGAAGCAAACCTGCCAACAGTATGGCACACATTTATAACATCTGGATGTCATTATCATATATCTGTGGCTTTGGGGATTATTCGGCACTTGTAGTGGAATTTTAATGGGCTAATTGCAGCTGTGAATTAAATTAGCGTGTTGATAAATCCCATCAATATGCATATAATTCACATTATTTCAGATGACTTGATCAAAGTTTTAAATTTGCGAAAAACTGCTTAAACTTCAAAATACCCCTCCATTCTTTTAAGATCAAAGATCCTTTGGATGATTTCAAGATACGATCTTCTTTACTATGTATTCATTTTTTAGCTTTTGAAATGATTCACTCCTGTTTTCAAATCTGGCCTACCCTGTCCAGAAGTGAAGTGGGTGTTCTCTTCAAGTCCTTAATAAGCTAATTAATGGGCCACATGTGCACTAATAACACCTCTGCTTCAATAATATACTCCTCTCTTTCAATTTCAAATATACTGAAGGGCATTTGAGGACTCCCAAATGCTACTACTTTGCAGTTTTCAACACAAAACTTATTGAGAGGACTTTACAGATCTTCTGCTCCACTTTCCTCCTATCTACCTTTACCCATCAGTCACAAACAAACCTTGACACCCACAGTCCCATGACATCTAACAATGTGACAGAATGTTTCTCCTGCATCCAGCTCCCTACAAAACAATGTAAGTGCAACAAATGAGATGATGTTATAACACAACAACACTGCATGTACTTAAATCAATATTATAGTGATGCCACATGAGATTAACCCAAAAACTAGGCTACAATAAGGTCACGGTAAGATCAGTATTGATCACCACAGCCACTCTAAATCTCCACAGAACTAAGGATGCAATGAGATAAAACAAATACCCTCAAGTGCTGTCAGGTACAGCAATACAATAATTATTAAGAGCTCATTCATTCAAGTCCAAAGAGGAACATAACAGGCATTCTCTTGAGGGAATCAAACACACGGACAGACAGTAATCAGCGATCGGTTATCTGGATCGGATGGACATTTCTCTGCATCCACACACAGCCCGGCCAGCCACATTCACCCATAATAAAGCCATAGCGCACTCGCAGATGCGCACCACACAGAGCAAGTTGCCCTTCACCTACCGTACCTTTGGTGTGAGCGGCGCTCAACCCCAGAGCAACTACAGCCAACACGCCGGCTATTCTCAGCATCTTCTCGGTGGAGATTCAGCCCCGGGAAGGAGAGGAGACTACGGCGACCTCTTTTCCTCTTCTCTCCTCTTTCTTTTTTTCCTACCTTTTTCTTCTCTCTCTCTCTCTCTCTCTCTCTCTCTCTCTCTCTCTCTCTCTCTCTCTCCTTCTCCTCTCCGCCCTCTCCCTCTTATTCAGCACCTCAGGTTCTCTCCTCTCTCTTCAAGCGGAGTGTGGAAACAGTTCACTGATAATGTGGGACAAGACGGGCAGCGTGGAGCAGAAGAAGGACACCGGGTGCCCGCAAAGCACCTCGCCGCACCGTAACCGCGCGCGTCGCACCGCAAGTCGTGTGGACGGTGGAGGCAGCAACTAAAAGTGGTTTCTGCTGAGATGGGACCGGAGAGCAGCACACCCCGGGACCAGACCGAGCGACGTCACAGGGAGGAGAGAGATGGATTCAGGCGCTTTCTTTTTTTCCCCCCCTCTCCTCCACCCTACACTCTCCCTCCCTCCCTCCCTCTCCCCCTCTCTCTCTCTCACACACACACACACACACACACATCCTCCGCCCTCCCCTCCTCCCCTCTCCTATCTCTGGAGCATCCCAGCCCACTCCAACTCACCGTGAGTCTGCCTGCCACGCTGAGGAGGGATCCATGACGAGAAAAAATGTCTTTTACATGTGGTAATGTCTAAAAGAAAACATAACTGGTGTCATGCGTTTACAAAAAATCTAACAAATGAAGCATATTAATGCTTTTGATAACGTTATTATTAGTGTTAAAATGCCTTTATAAACACACCAAAGAACCCTTGTGCATATAATAATGCTATGGATATAATGTAGGAATTAAAATAGCATCCAGTTAAGCCACTGTAAACCAGTACCATGAAACGCATGTGATTTAAATATTACAGTAGTATTTGCCCGAGGATGCAATTAATCTTAATTGCTAAAATATCATCATTATGAAGAAGTTTTAATTTGTCGCGGGCTACAACGGAAATAGAATATTATCAGCCCAATGTAGGCCAATCTCTGCATAAGTCTGCACCTCCTGTCTTTTACTTTTAAATTCACCTTCTTTTTTTAACAGTAGTTCCCCAACATTTCTGGAATGCTTGTAACAGCTTACCAACAGTGATATATCTGGACTAAAGGATTTCAGTTTAGCCTAAGGACTTTAAGTTTCCATTTCTAAGAAGAAAAGACTGTAAGATAGATGGACATACTTTCATATTCTCCCCACTGTTTTCTTATCACAGAGAAAGCATTCAAAACTGCTGCTTAAATGTCAAATATTCTCATTTCTTTATAAAATGTGCAACAAAATTTAAAAATTCCATTTTGTCAGAGAGACCGTTATTGTTTCCCACAGAAAGAAACCAAAAAAAATACTCATTTCATTCTTTCAGTTTGTGTGTGTGGTGTGGGCGTGTGGTGGCATGGGTGAGTGCGTGCATGATATTTTTTTTTCTTTTTTTCAGTTGGCGCCGGGCAGTAGGATTAATAATAACTTTTTCAATTTTCCTGAGTAGCCTATCTCAAAGGAACTTTTCTCTTGGACTATCTCTGTTGGTTAAGGATTATTCTGGGAGGCAGAGAAAATATTGCCAGTGTTATCTAGAGGGGGAAAAAAAGTAATACAAACAGATGACAATGCACAGATTTGAATCCACACCATGCAGTGATGAAATTAAATTTGGTCTTCTTTTCACTGGGGAATGACCTAAGTGGTGTATAGCCGAAAGAAAGGCTTTCCTCGGCTTGTGTACAAGGAGGTGACAGAGAAGTGGTTCTCAAACTGAGGAGCTGGGACCCTGAGGAGGCCTTAGAAACATGAGGTATATTTAAATTGGACTATATTTTAGTGATTATTTAAATATCATCATCTATTATTTACACATAATAGAATATTAAATCAAAAGAAGTGAAACTATAGGTCCATTGTGATATCTTGCTCCCTATATTATCAAATGCTGGTTCTCCATATCTTAACAACAACTAAGGACACACAGTGAAGGCTAATATATTCCTCAAGGCTTTCCAGCACAGCCACAGATCTTCTCCAAATGATAGCCATTAATCAACGAGAACAAATATGGTAAAACAAAAAAGGCAGCGCATGAAAATAACTAATCTTAATCTGGCAAGGCAAGTCACGTGGGGGCCCGGCAGGGCAGGTTATTTTCTGAGTTTAATATTACTTTCTATATCAGTCACAGGGCTGCATCAGGCAAAATACTTTTATTTTTTCATCATGGCTATTTTCAAATTACAAGCTGCTGCAAATGGCCAATTTTGTTTGAATTCCGTTTCTGCTCTCTAGGTTTTTGATGCTTTTTCATTATTGACACACATTATGCCCACTAGGCTACCATATCCACCACCCTGGGAACAGTGAATTGCAAGCTATAACGCTAATGTGATCTCACACTGTGTCCGTCTATCTGCTCCGAGTCCGGAGGAAGAAAACAACAAAAAAAATTGTTGCTGTATGTATTAGGCAATCCAACCTGGCTGAGTAGTTTAATGTGCGATTCTATTTGTCTCCTGTAAGTATTTCACTTTTGGGAGATATTAGTGACATACATTACAGGCAGCCATTTGCTGTGTAGGTTGCTAAATGATGATGGAAACAATAAGAAGATGATGAGGATATTGGTAAAATGGATGACTGCAGCATAGCGTAATAAATATATAATGTGCTGTGAGAGCTGTCAGAGTTTGCGCCTCCCAGAACAAGTAAAGCACCGACAAGGATTTAAATAAGACCTTTTTTTTTAAAGCACCGCTGCCTGCAGAGAACTCACCTCTCTTTGGTGCCGAGTGACAAGGACTTTTTCAGATTGTCCAAACTATTGACATGTTAAAAATGCCACATAATTACTTGTGTGTGCTCACAAAACGGCATCAGTGATAATGAGCTGCACGGCTGGAATTTCATCAACTTCACAAAGAGAGTTTTGAGTATAAATTCATCGTGCTGTAATGAAGCAGATGTAATAGCTTTGTTTCGTATTGATTTTTGTTCTTTGAGCAAAATCTCTAGGCTGCCCTGGGCTCATTCCACATCCATGCTGCAGAGCACCGTGGTGCTAATGAGTCGCCCTCAGTGCACCTCGATGACATTTCACAGAGTGGAACATATAGAAGCTTTTGTCACCAAGCAGACAGTCCTTACAGTCAGCAATAACCACTTTGCAGGAATGTATGAGGTATTGATGCTGCAAGTTTATGAATAGTCAGGCTTGTTTTTAGACACAAAGTCCATGCAGTCTTTTCACGAAATAACTCAATATGATGTTCATGTTCTTGTCTCCTGCCTGCTGTATAGACTATACCACTGAGATGCAGGAATATGGTATGCAAAGAAGTCCATTTTCTACATTTATCTTTCAGCCAGGGAACCCAAGAATGCTGTTGCAAAGAGACACGCCATTTCTCTTTTTTCCAGCAAAGCAGGTCTGGGTGGAGATCCCTCTGTGCACAGCAAGTGTGACAGATAGAAAAGCACACTCATGCATCTTAATTTGATCATTTACTGAACACATGGAGAGAATAGAAAAAAGCCATCTTCTTTATTGCTGAAACCAATGGTCCATTGTACTGTTATTTGGTGTATAATCAGAGAGTAGTGCATGCTTTAAACATGCATTTTTCTTACACAGAGGTGCACCTGAATGTTTGAACATTTGCTTGTGGGAAATGTGTTTAGACATTTTCAGTCAAATAATTTGCTTTCAATGGAATACATTTAAACTTAAGATTGCAGAGCAGGTCCAAGCCATATGGCTCACTGCTGCTGTTCCTGATGTTCTCCTTCCTGTCCAGCGCTGCGTGTGGACAAGAGACAGCTCCTCATCGTCCATCTTGTGTCTCTTAGCAATCAACTATCGCCTTCCTCCATCTCTTATCTGTCCTTCAACCGGTAGGTCTTTTTTGTCTCAAGTAATCACCCTCCCATGTTTCTATTTGTCCCATCTTTCATCTCACATCCTCTCTTCCACCCTCTGTCTTCTCCTCAGCATTTTACATGGCCCAATCATTCTACTGACACCAAATTCAGATCTCTCTATCCACCCCTCTCCGCCCTCGCTCTCCTGTTAGTGCGTGTGACAGAGTGCAGTGCCTCCGCATACTCCCACTGACAGCTGGCTCGGGCTGGAGAAAGAGGGGAGGGTGGGGAGGGGGAGGCAGGGGAAGGGAGGGATGAGAGGAGGTAGAGAAAGGCAAAAAGATAGACCATCATCCCCCTGGCGTTTCCCCCCGGCTCTTTCTGAGGAAGTGTCGGTTGCGCAGCTTTGATGCTGCCTACATCATGCAGCGGTCTGAAGCTGTGAGAGTGCCTTCTGGCCCCATTTTGCCTCGCCTCACTGGCAGGAACTGGGCCAGAAGTTGTCATCCGCCTCACACATCTCTCAGTCCCATTACTGAAAACTATGACAGCAAATATTAGATCCTCTGTCAGACAATAAAAATCCACATTTCAAAATCTTTTCATACCAATTTGACTTTATTACTATTTTAACCTCATTGCTCCTTCTCTTTTCCATTGAGACACTGAAGGACCATTCTAATAGTTTTGCAGTTTTGGCGCATTCGTTGCAGGCATCTAATTGGCTTCTGTTCATTTTTGCACAATAGGAAAAACTTTTAGCTGGCTCTTTAAAACCGTTTCACTTGTGCAGTTCATCACAGAGAGAAGTGAGATTATTTTTTGTCAAAGTTACATCACTGTTGTGACATAATGTAATGAAGACTTTTAAAATCATTGTTCTGCACTTAATCTGCATGAACACCCAATGATTATGACAATTAGTTCAAACTTTAAAAAGGTCACAAATTAGATCCAGAATTATTTATATTTTCACAACTCAAGCAAGTTTTAAGGGTCTAATTGATTTTCATACTGTATGGAAATAAATGTAAACCAATGGAAGCATGAAACAGTGAAGAAAGTGACATCTAATAATGTAAAACTTTATACCTTGCAGCAAAATTATTCAGACCAAAATGTCATGTATCAATGTTTTGTATTTAAGGATCTAAAACTTGCAAACACACTGGTTTGTTCCATTAAAGGAATAGTTTCACATTTGGGCCCCGCTAGCCATTTCTTCCTGTTTCCAGTAAGTGTAAACCCACCTTCACGTCACCCATTGGTTTGTTGAAAACCGCTTTGAATGGCAATGGCTGTTTTGGCAATATAGCTGTCACCATCTTGTTTCTTTTGGAGCCAGAAGTAACCCTATTTGGACAAGAGCGTGGGGCTGATGACGTACTGCGAGTTGGACGGTGTTTGGTTTTGGCTTGGTGTTTTCAAGCAGAAAATAATGGTGGCCTCCCTGGTCCCCATGTTCATGTTTGTGAAAACATCTGAAATAAACAAAAATGCAGTACAGTAACAGGATCTTGATTCACATTTGATCAGCATTAGTTTTCCAGTTTGATCTGAGTT